TTTCAATGGACCAAAACAAATAGAAAGTAGTGTACCTTGTGAAGTAGTATGCCAATCCAATCCTTTAGGTAACATGTTAGGATTCATTATTCATCCACGTGATATTTTTCATTTGATGTAAACCGACAAAGATTTTTATAGTAGTAGCTTCGCCTAAGCGTGGATTTGAGCAACGTAACTCCACATTTAAAGTGGCACTGGAATCAAATATATTGTATATGTCCTGTATAAGTTACGCCGGCAAATAATGCTTGGTGTGGTCCGAGGTCCAGAAGATTGTGAAAAATCAAGCTGTTGGGAACAACGACCTAGTTATAAAGTCGGTATCATGGCAGCCCATTTCCTAAAAGTTTTGACTTGAAACTTGCAGGGGTCTCTTCCTGGTAAAAAAGAAAGGTAGCAAATCTCTAGACTTTGATTTGGGAATGGCAATTTACCATATCTACAAAAAGAAACAGCAAAACCACTATCCCCAAAACTTTCCTTGGAGGTCGAGAGACTTCTAGCCCTTTGGAAATTGCAAGTGAAGTACCCTCCTACACTAAGCTGTACAACTTAGAAAGAAAAACCAGGGCCCAAAAATCCTCTCACCAGCCCAGTCCACAGAAATCCGAAGACAGCAGCAGCCTGAAATTCTCCCTTCCCAACTCGCAGCCGGGCGCTTTATCGTGTGAAAGCCCGAATATTTAATCCAGGCTCATCCTTTGCAGCAACCCACAAGCTCGCCTCCTGCCTTCAGCCCAAACAGAACCCAATCCAGCCCCTTATAAACCAAGTCCACCATCTTGTAAACCTTAACGAAGAAACTCCAGTAACTAAAAGAGCCCACCAAGCAAAAAAAACCCAACTGTTCCTTCATGAACCCAAACCGAGCACAAACACCATAACCATCCAGCACTGGCACGACCCACAATTTTTTTGCCGTGCCCCGAGGCCATGCGGGCTGAAGATTTGACACATAGGTTGGCACGACACAGCCCATGAATTTAAAAAAATAAAAATTTTAAATTTTTTTAAAAACAACTTACGCAACACATGGATCGACCCACAAAAGTGCAACATGACACAGCTCACCGGGCCATGGGTCGTGTCGTTTGTTAGTTTTGAGTTTTGATTGTCTGGTAAAACACTACACGACATAGCCCACTGCCACCTCTAACCAACACCCATTGGAGCCCAAACAGCCATCCCAACAGACGTCCCCATATTAAAAAATTTCTCCCATACTATACTGGAAACCATCAGAAGAATAATTCTTAAGAAAATTGCTCTCCCTTTTGTTGATCTCATTGTACTACTCCACCCTCTGGAGAAAAACTTGGACCGCCTGATTCCTACTGCCAAATAAAAAGAGTTTTTTGCCGTACCACTGCCCGTTCTTACTTCCCCATTTGCCCAGTCAAGAACCCTTCCCAAAATGCTACTCATGCTGTTGTTACATCATTCTAAAGCTGCAGTAAAATACCGCACTTCACGCCTATACACCCCCAACGACAAACACAAAGTTCCACACCCTACTCATTTTGGTTTTTCTCATTATGAAACACACAGAAAACGGCGCCCGACAGAACCAACAAGAGGTTGCCTAAATTCTTCAAGGTCTTCACCCCAAGGCTCAGCTCTGCCAATTTGGTACTTTCATCTTCCTTTCTGCTCATATGATCTGTGTTTTTTTTCTTTTTTTTTTTCTTCTTGAAGTTCTTTTGGTTGGCACGATGAAATCCTCTCTCTGCATTTCTTGGTCGATTAATGGGAGAAACTTTGAGAGAGGGGGAGAAAGCTTAAACCTTTCTCAGAGCTTGGCTTTGAGAGAGCTTCATGTACTGTTGTTTTTAGCAAACAAACAGAATATATTTGGTTTTCCATGTCCATGTGAGTCCTGTACATAAGTTTAGTTTCTTTTTCTCTTTGTTGTGATTTTCTGGAAAATTATTTGGGTTTGAAGCTAGTTTGATGTTTGTTCACTTTGGGCAGAATTTGTTCGGTTCATAAAATAGTATATATAACTCATTTAATATTCTTTTATGATTTGGGATTCATTAAATTTTCGTTCAAGAACATTAATTAATTATTTCATATACATATAAGCACAAATTAGTATGTGAAAGAGTAAAATTACTGAAGAAACTGATTTTAACAGTTTTCAATCGTCTTTTACATGTTATGATTGAAATTTAATGATGCAATTGATTTCTTGCGTAGAAATCCCGGATGCTTGGGTATAGGTGTGCATACAAGCCGAGCCGAGCCAAGTAGTGGCCGGCTCGAGCTCGGCTCGATGAGATAAGTTGGGAGCTCGAGCCCTACTCGGCTCGACTCGTCAAGTTCCGAGCCGAGCCGAGCTCGAGCTCGAGCCAAGCTCGTTTGCAGCTTTTTCCCTGCAAAACAAAGCACAGCGTCTTCTTCTTCTTCTTCTTTCATTTTCCCAAAGTTACCTCTTCTCATCAACGTGAATTACCACTCCAATTTACACCTTCTTCTTCCACAACTCTTTTTCATTCTCTTTCTCTTCAAACCCAGCTTCAACTATTGCAATTATTTTCATTTTTCGTGTAAAATGAACACATCTGTCTCTCATCAACTCAGCAACTCATCTGGGTTTTTCTCAAAACACATTTTGGATTGGTAGATTTCTTTAATCAGCAGAGTGTAGAGAAGGGATGGGGAAGAACATATTCAGTGCTCCATTGTGATAAAACAGGAGAAGGGTAGAGTTTTCAATTTCTGATAAACAAGAGAAGGATTGGGTGTGCAAAAATGGGTACACAAATCATATGATAGCACCATCAACTTAGGAAAAAAATAAAAAATATAAACCAAAGTGCAATCCAGACAACATTTACTAATAATTAATTCTTCACTCTAGCTTCTCCAGTTCCCCCATTCTCTCAATGATTGCCTGCATATTACAGAAAAAGATCAATATTGCTGCAAATTATGGTGTCATACAAATTTATCACCCCAACAACCAGTGTAAAAGAGGGAATAGAAAAATGCTTTGCCATTGAAATTACAGAGAAGCCATTATACCCGGAAAACAATGAACAACACAAAGCATGAAAAGTGGTGCCCGTTAATGTAACCAGTCAAGCCTCTAGGCATCAAACAGAGATCAATGATTGTATCCTGTCATCACCTAGGGTGGTGAAATTTTAGAAAAGGGGAGAGGCTACCCAAACTGTTTCAATATATCACCAGTTCATGGAAAGGGGCTAAAAGGGACTACAAAGCACCAATACTAGGGGCTCCAAAATAGCTAGAATGGTTGACAAGTTCAGTACCAAAAACACNAAACCCCATGTAAATGACTTCATTTGGCTTGAATTTATGGGGTCAAGCCATGATTGTTATTTTGCTTATTAAACAATATATATGGTTGCTAATGGTAGAGTTTTCTATTCAATATTGCAGTTGGTTCCATCTTATGTCTTGAGAGATTTTAGAATTAAATTAGCTGAAGATGTAACCTTTCATGATGAGCTGGAGAGGGAATGGCCTGGAACGGCTATGCGCTGGAAGGATGGTCGAACCTGGATTACAGGATGGGGCTCAGTCTGTCGGTGGAACCATGTGGAAAAAGATGATCTTTGCATATGTGAATTTCCGAAAGTAGGTGGAACAAAGAATAAGATTTTGGTGCATATTAAACCAGGTGATGGTTCATAGAGCCAACCCACCAACCAAGAACCAAGAAGTTCCTAATGGAAGAGTGTTGTGTGTTAAAATCAAGAAGTCGACTCGTGGAGGCTTTCGTTTAACATAGGGATGGGTTAAATTTTCAAGAGAGGAGAATTTGAAGCAAGAAGATATCGGTATCTTTGAGTTGATCAAGATGAAAGACTCCATTCTGAAACTTTCAGTATATCCTGTAGCTGCAAAGTTAACATGAAAATGAAAAATGTTTTTGTCAGCCAATATTTCGGGTTACTATAAAGATTGACTCATAACTAAATCTTATAAACTTTCTCTCATAATCCCGACATGGCAGCTCGTAATTGAACAGACAGGATCTATAGCAAGTAGGAGGGACCTATTTACGAACTGACCAAATGCAAGCTGTCACGTCAGGATTGTGAGAGAAAGTTTGTGAGATTAGGTTGTAAATGTAGTATTTTTCTGAAGGTTAATGCTAAAAAAATGCCCATAACCTTTAAAAATAATGCATTAGATAGCAACATTGTATTCCCTATTATATATGAACAAAAGTTTGTTGTGACAATTTATTCCATTTGTAAAGAACTAAGCAAACCCAATATCCAAAAACAATCTCATTGTGCATGGTTTAAAAAACTCGAGTATTGTAACTAATTTCCAAGTTTTTTTTTTTTAATAGCCAAAGTGTTTGTGTCAGTTTGCACGCCATTCAAAAAATTAGAGTATGATTCACGAAGCCAAACCAAAACCTAATCGGACTAAACCCATGAAAGTTAGAGGCTAAACTCTTGTTTGGTACTGATCAACTGCCTATTTTCCTATAAATATTTAGAAAGAAAAACCAGGGCCAAAAATCCTCTCACCAGCCCAGTCCACACAAATCCGAAGACAGCAGCAGCCTGAAATTCCCCCTGCCCAACACGCAGCCGGGCCGTTTATGATGTGGAAGCCCCGCCTCCTGCCTTCAGCCCAAAAGGAACCCAATCCACCCCCGTAAAAACCCAGTCCACCATCTTGTAAACCTTAACGTAGAAACTCCAGGCCCAAACCCCATTAACTAAAAAAGCCCACCCAGCAAAAAAAACCCAACTGTTCCCTCATGAACCCAAACCGAGCACAAACACCATAATCATTCAGCACTGGCACGGCCCACAAATTTTTTACCATAGCCCCTGGGCCATATGGGCTGTGTCATGGGCTTAGGACTTGACAGTGGGTTGATAAGACACAGCCCATGAATTTAAAAAAATAAAAATTTTAAAATTTGTTAAGAACAACCTATTCAACACTTGAATGCATTACCAAAGAATGTTGTACTTCAGAATCGAAGCGGAAAAGTTTGGCATATGAAAATGGAAAATGCTGACAATAGGGTATATTTTGCAAGTGGTTGGCAACAGTTTGTGAAAGACAATTCTTTAGTGTCTGGAGATTTTTTAGTTTTTCAATACAACGATGACAACGGATTTAATGTTAAAATATTGGCGAAATCTGGCTGTGAGAAGAATGAAACTGGTCCTCATGTGGGCATTGATATAGAGGAGGAGAAAGAAGAGGAGGAGCACGAAATTACTGATGTAGGTACTGATTTTGATGATGATCACGGTAGTGACAGTAATGACAGTGAATATAATGTTGAAGAAGAGGAGGAGGAAACGGAAGAAGAAGCATCAGAGAGGAAGTGAGAAAATATGTTCATCGTCAAAATCCGTACTTTGTGTCAAAGCTAAAAAAACTAGGAAAAGCCTACCGGTAACGAGCTAAAATCATCTATTACTAAAAAACCTGATCTTGCTTAGTATAGTCAATAAGTGTTGGTGAGAATTGCATTAGCCGTTAATTTCATATTTTATCAGTTAAACTAATCTGTGAAATGCTAATTCTTTCAATTTGTTAGGATTTATGGTACTCTCTACTTGATATGGAGGCCGAATTCTCTTTTGTTTTAATTCATAAGAAGAAAAGTTGCTGGCATTATAATGATTTCTTGCACCATTTAGAAACCCCATGTAAATGACTTCATTTGGCTTGAATTTATGGGGTCAAGCCATGATTGTTATTTTGCTTATTAAACAATATATATAGTTGCTAATGGTAGAGTTTTCTATTCAATATTGCAGTTGGTTCCATCTTATGTCTTGAGAGATTTTAGAATTAAATTAGCTGAAGATGTAACCTTTCATGATGAGCTGGAGAGGGAATGGTCTGGAAAGGTTATGCGCTGGAAGGATGGTCGAACCTGGATTACAGGATGGGGCTCAGTGTACCGGTAGAACCATGTGGAAAAAGATGATCTTTGCATATGTGAATTTCCGAAAGCAGGTGGGACAAAGAATAAAATTTTGGTGCATATTAAACGAGGTGATGGTTCACAGAGCCAGCCCACCAACCAAGAACCAAATCGGGCTGACCAGTGAAGTAGGAGGCTACATTTTTGTTTAAGTTTCCACATCAAACTCTGCTAATGTTTTATATAAATATTATGCTTTCAAGAACAAGATGTGTTATGAAATGATGAACAATATTTAGAATTTTTCTGTAGGTCACTGTTGTCAAGGGTTGGGTTGGGTACAAGTTAGTTTGAAATAGGATCTTATCGAATTGAAGTATTATGGAGTTTCTACGACTACTTACTTTGGAATAATGCTACGGACATTGACGTTTTGCACCGAAATGTTAAATAGAACGACATGTCACTTGCGTCAGACAAACCACGTAACACGTTAAGTAATATTTCACAAATGAACGGACGTCTATCAAATATGGATGGTCGTCCATTTTCATTCGACGGTCATTCATTTGAAATGAACTCTTTTCCATATTATATGGATAAGAGTTCACCTATAAGGCCGCTCGTTCATAGTTTAAATTAAAAAAAATTAATAAAAAAATCTTAGACGCCTGTCCATATATTATTGACAGGTGTCCTACTTAATGGACAGGCGTCCCTATTTGATGGACGCCCGTCCATTTTTTCAATTAAAAAAATTTGAAAACAAAAGTAGTTCCATTCTTTTAGCCCTATTGGATGAACACCCTTCCATTGTTTCAATTAAAAAAATTTGAAAACAAAAGTAATCCCATTCTTTTAGCCAAAGTCTGTGAATATTCATGGCACCTGGTTTGTTTAGTTTATTTTTTATTTTAGATGGTGGACCCTGACTGCATTGATGGATGCATGACACCTGTTTCTTTACTTTAATTTTTTTATTGTAAATGGTGGACCCTTTGACTGTATTGATGTATATAGTTCAAGTGATGAACTTCCATTTACTTAGTGTTTGTGTTTGAAAGTAAATAGAAATAATAGTTTAGAAGAAGAAAATAGAAGGAACATTGTGGGAAAAAGGAGATTTTGTTGTAGAGCAGAGCTCCTATTTAATGGACGGGTGTCCATCTAAGAGGGACGCCCGTCCATTGCTTTTGTTTTTAATTTTTTTTTTTTAAATTTAAACAATTGACTGGCGTCCATCTAATAAGAACGCATGTCCATTAAATAGGGATGCCCTTCTATAATATATGGACGGACGTTTATGATTTTTGTTATCAAATTTTTTTAATTTAAACTATGAACTGGCATCCTTATAGGTGGACTCCTGTCCAATAAGTAAGGATGCCTGTCCATTTCAAATGAATAGAAGGAACATTGTGGGAAAGAGGAGATTTTGTTGTAGAGCGGAGTCCCTATTTAATGGACGGGTGTCCATCTAAGAGGGACGCTCGTCCATTGCTTTTGTTTTTAATTTTTTTTTTTAATTTAAACAATTGACAGGCGTCCATCTAATAAGAACGCATGTCCATTAAATAGGGATGCCCTTCTATAATATATGGACGGGCGTCTATGATTTTTGTTATCAAATTTTTTTAATTTAAACTATGAACAAGCATCCTTATAAGTGGGCTCTCGTCTAATAAGTAAGGATGCCCGTCCATTTCAAAGGAACAGTCGTCCATATTTGATGGACGACTGTTCATTCGTGAAATATTTCTTAATGTGCTACGTGGCTTGTTTGACTCAGGTGACACGTCGTTCGGTTTAATATTTTGGTACAAAGCGTCGGTGTCTATAGCATTATTGATAAGAAAATACATCAAATAATCAAACTGATAACCTCATTTCATTGACAGCTAATCATCAAATTCTGCTTATAATTTCGTATTAAAATAGTTAGAAGATATATTTATAGTTTTGAAGAACGAATCAAAATAACAACTCATTTGTCAATGTCAATTGGACATCCTTCCTTTATTCTATCACCAATAAAATTCAATCACATGACAATCACAAATCCAAGGTGTCATTATGGTTAGACCTTTAGAATGTCAATGCAATGCATGTATTATTATTATTATTATTAATTATTAATACATATTATATTTTTTAAATTAATTAATAATTATAGATGAATCAATAAATATCAATCGAACGTGTTAAGATAGAGCAATTTGATTGGTTTGTCAATCCAATGTGTCAAATTTGGCTTCGTTTGATTGCATTTTGGGAATACTACTTTTAGTACTCCCAAAAAAGTTAAACAGTAACATACCAAAAAACTCACAATATTATTCAACTTTTTTTAAACCCTCTAAATTTGTTAATTTAATTAAATACCCCTAAATACTTTTTAAAAAATTATAAAAACACCCCAACAATCCACATTTACCAGATTCCAGCCACCACGGCCAGAAAATGATGGGAATCTGGTAGGATGGCGCACTATCGGCCAGATTAGCCTTTTCCGGCCAGATCCACGGTGGATCTGGTCGGAAAAGGCCAAATCTTTGGCCGTAACCAGTCGGTAATGACGGCCAACAAACGATTGTCGTTGACCATCAACGACGACCGTTTGTTGGCCATCGTTGATGAGCAAATACGGCCAGATCTAGCCGTAGATCTGGCCTTTGCCAGCCAGATCTACTGTGGATCTGGTCGGAAAAGGCCATATCGGCGCACAACCAGCAAGATCCAGCCGGTCATGCACCAATACGGCGACTCCGGCCACCCTCCGTCGGTGGTGGCTGGCTGTCCGTATTTGAGGGTGGGTTGGGGGTATTTTTGTTAACTTTTAATGTTTTATTATAGAGGGTATTTTGTAAAAAAATAAACATAAGGGGTATTTTATTAATTTGTAAATCCTACATCATAATACCCACCCAAATCAACTTTTTTTTTAACTTTTTTCAAAAAACTTTTCTCAAAAACACAAAATTGTGAACCAAACGGAGCCAAAGTAATTCTAGAGCTTCCAGGAACAACCCGCATGAGTATTCAACTTTATATAGCATTGAGACGTTTGTTGATTTCAATTTATGGTGAAAAACTAAGTGAACCCAATGAACAAAAAAAAAAACAAGCATGCGTGGTTTCAAAAAACTAGGCATTAAATGGAGGGCGTTGGAACTTGGAACTAGTGAGTCTTTGAATTTCAAATACAGAGCAAATGACTTTTTCCTACCCAAGATTTTTCTTAATGACACTTTCCCACCCAACTTTTATATTTCATTGATATCCAAAATACACTTTGCTTGCTCAGATAGCTTTCAGCCGGTTACCAAGAGCCAAGGTAAGAGAGTTTTTTAAAGTGAAGGCCGGTGAATCGAATGGTGCTGACCGATTGAATATTCGCCGTCAGAATCAGCTAAAAATCATCTAAGAACAAGAAACCCTAGATTTGTGATAGCTCGCAATCAACGAGAAATCAAGTGCTGGAGTGAGAGGGTTTTACAGAGAAGAGATCAAAGGTTCAAATGATGGTGACAGAGAGAATTTTTGCCACTGGAATCGGCTTTGAGTATTAACGAAATATAAACTTCGGGTGGGAAAATGGTATTTTGAAACTTTTGGGTGGAAAGTTAATTAAGGCAAACCTTGGGTGTTAAGGTATATTAGCAGTTCTTTGAATGTTGGGTTAGAGTTTTGTAAAAGACATGCTTCACTTGACTTGGTTAGCTTTGTATATTCAGATTTTATAGGAGACAAAGATACTAGAAAGTCAACTACTTCGTATTACTTCACTCTCGGTGGAAATTGTATAAACTGGAAGTCTCAACTTCAGTCTATAGTGGCACTCTCATCAACTGAAGCTGAGTATATTGCTATTGTTGATGTGTTCAAGGAAGCCCTTTGGCTACAAGGTTTATTAGCTGAATCAAATCTGACAGAGGGAAAGGTAATCACATACTTTGATAGCCAAAGCGTAATCCACTTAAGCAAGAATCTAGTTTATCACGAAAGGACAATGCACGTAGATGTTCACTTTCATTTTGTAAGGGACTTAGTCACTCAAGGAGTGATTGACTTGAGGAAAGTACAAGCTAGTCGCAAACAATCCGAATGATCGTTCAATCAATTCCGAGATAACTTCAGATACCAGATATTACAAGAATGACCAGATTAATAGCAATCTCTGTGCAATCATAGCACCAAATCATGAAAATATCAGAGTTGCAGTTCAAATCAATTATAATCTCTTTATTTTCGCTCTTTCTTTTATACAAACCTTGTATATAAACCCCCTCAAATGATGAAAAAGGGGTTAGAAATTTTCCATAGAACTCTTATTATAATCTCTCATAGCAAATACAAAAACAGTGGACATAGGCATAAGAGGCGACCTCGTCGAACCATTTTAAAAATCTTATTATCTTTTACTTTATTGCACTTATCATTCACTCATCGCTGATTATCCGTAATCACGCTCACATCAGTTCCGTTTCCACCAAAGTCAATCGGATCTCTCTGGTTGGTGCGAATTTTCGTATCAACAAAGATGATCAAATTGGCAATTCTAATTACAAAACTTTAATCAACTGAAAACCAAGATCTTTTTTACTCGTGTTCAAAGTTGCAGTTGATGCTATAACTCTCATGTTTTATTAATTTGTTCTGTTGATGACTTGATGTTGCAGGTGAGAAAGCTCCATAGAGCTTGCTTGAAGAATCCTGTAAAGGTAATAATTATAATATGCTGGCACATCATATCATATAATATTTTTTTGCCTGAAATAGTTTATTCATGCTTGATAATTCTTTTTATTGATATTTAACAGCTGTCTCTTCTTATTTATTCAGATTGAAGCAGCATCTAAATATTCCACTGTTGACACACTGAAGCAGCAGTACCGCTTTATTCCTGCTTAGTACAGACCATTACAGATGCTAATAACTGCAAATGTTTAACTCATTGAAGTTTGTTTTCACCTCTCAAGGTTTTTAATATGAAATCAGACTGAAACTGCACTTTAATGAAATAGTATTTAAATCTCTCTAACC